GAAAGACCATGGCCTGAATCAGACTCACCTTATTCTTCAAACTGACATCACACTACTCCTCACTAATTTGGAAAGATCCCTAACTGCAGATTTTCCCCAGGCAAGGTTTCTCCTTATTTCCTGACTACTGGTACCATGAAGATTTTATTTTAACTTTGGAAACTCTATAAGGCAGTTCTACTTGATGGTAGTGGGCTTGTTTTCTATTTGGTTGTTTTTGTTGAATACATAATTTGCTAAGAAAAGCAATTTCAAACCCCAAAACCCTAAATCTTTTCTTGTTTCATAGCAAACAGATGTATAGTCAGAGCGCCATGTCAAAAGCAGTGGTGCCTTGCATGCAGGCAACAACACAACTGGACATTGTTCACTATCCATACAGCTTGGCCTTGCATTTCGACCATAGAACCATGAATTATGGTTGTAGGTTTAACCAGGATGATTCTACCAAAAAACAAAGTATTTATAGATCTTAAAATTAAAATGAAATCTCTTACTTTTGAGTAGGTTCTGACTCATATAGGACATAGTAGAACTACTCCAAATATAATTTGATTTTTTTGACTGCTTCTTCCATGGGCATTGGTTACAGATCTGACTATAATGAAATGACTGAAAACTTCAACCTTTTCTTTGTTAATCAAGTAACTTATTAGTCAAGCTGTGAAAATTTTCGTTTTCCTTATTTTGAGAGGTAATCCATATTAAAGCCTTTGAGCTTTACTTTCAACAAGCAAGGTTGTGTCATCTGCAAACTGAATGTGGTTCATAAGTCTTATTTCAAATCTTAAGCTGACTATTTATACATATAGTCTGGTTTCTTAGATTACTTTGTCAGAATAAAAACTGAATAACAAGCGTGAAAGGATCTAAACCTGATGCACATTTTTCCCGACGTTAAACCATGCAGTACGCCTGTTCCGTTCAAATGACTGTCTGCTGGTCTATACAGATTCTGAATGAGCAGTTAGATTTTCTGGGATTATTATTCTTTGGAAAAACTATAATTATTTACAACCCACATAGTCAAATACTATGATATTCATGCGGGGAATACTCGCTAGGACAACATATATACTAAAATCCAGACCCTGGAAAACAGTGTAGGACAAACTATTTAATTTCTTTAATAACAACTGTAAGAGAAGGTATGGGAGATTTATAAACCAGTAATTTACTGTTGTTAGGTACTGAAAAGTCAAATTCAGTTCACGGAGAACAAGAGTACTATAGAATGAAACACTCCTCAATTCTAGGCCACTGCTAACTTCAGTCCACTGTTTCAGCCACTGTGCACCAATCCCTACAGAGATCACCACTAACAAAACTGAAACATTCACCTTTCGAAAAGTCAAGTTGTAATTAATGAAACTAAATATTTCAATAAATGATGAAATTAATGATTCATTAGGGGTGTTGGGCAACTTATCTGACATGTATATCCATAAGCATTTCACAAATTTCCCTTTCTTTTATCTTCACACTTACATCTCTATGTCATATACCTCCCACCCAAGTTTTTAAGATGGGGGAAAACAGTATGAATAATATAAATTATATATAGTCCACCAATGAAAACTTTGATCAACTTTGTGTCTACAGGACTGCCTATTTTGGGCATTTTAAATAAATCAAATCATACCGTATGTGGCCTTTCATAACGTAGGAGGGAGCTCTCGTGGCAATAATCAGTAAGGAGTTGCACTGTTAATCCAAAGGTGGTGCATCGCTCATGGTTTGAACCCAACAAACCATCTTCCTCCGTGGGAGAAAGATGAACAATTTCCTCTGGTGTAATCTACAGACTCCAAAAACCCACTGAAGGGTCTGCTATGTGATGGTTTCAATTCAATGGCAATGAAGTTTTTAAAAATAGCATAAAATAACCCACTGCTTTTCTACACAAAATTTAAATAGCAAATAAAAAAATTTGTTTAAAAGGGAAATCACCCTCTACTCTGTGTGTGTGTGTGTGTGTGTGTGTGTGTGTGTGTGTGTATGTACAGAGAGAGAGAGAGAGACATATAGCAATCTTTTTTAATGGTTTCAAAGAAATGCATAATAACTTACCAGAATCTACCTGGGATGAAAGCACCACTAGTGTCTGTGATGTTTCTAAATCATAAATTATTGTATTACCAGTGTTGAAAGAGGTTACCATATGAGCTGGATCACAGCCTATGAAGTCAACAGATGTAGGTATTCCATGCTCTGAAAGGAGTCCAAGAGAGAGATAGTGAACAGACTGATTTTTGAAACTCCCCTTTAATGGGGAGAAGGAATTAAAATATTATTGAAAAAAATGTTAACAAAAACAACTGTCATAATAGACGATATAATTACCTTTTCCTCTATTATTTAAAATATTCTCTAGTATCCAATTTAATTATAAGAAAATTTAACTAAAGGTTTCTTAAAGTGGAAGCAGATTTTATTTCTTCAGGTGAAGAAAAAAAAATGCAAGGGGAATGTCTCGGCCAGCCTATTAAGTAATTATAGAGACCAGAACATACACTATTCACCCCAAAATGTCTTACAATAATGAATCTCCCCTACCTCTTAAATGAAAATAAAGTTTCATTGAAAATTATTTTCAAAAATTACTTGGCAAATAAATAAAACCTGAGAGAGAGGGAAGAAGAAAAGGAGGGAGCGAAGGAGGGAGGGAGGGAATGAGGGAGGGGGAGAGAGAGGGAGTGAGTGAGTGAGAGAGAGAGTGTGTGTGTGTGTGTGTGTGTGTGTGTATAAAAGTAGAAGTTTTCCCAAGTAAATAGATGTCTTTAAAAGTAAGCTGGTTAAAAATCTTTGGGAATATGAAAATACTGGATGTTGCAAGTAACCTAATCTGTAATTCCCAGTTAAGGGTAGTAATTCAATGCTTGCAGCTGAACTTCCCTATCAGTACCCAGTAGGGTGCTACCATAAAAACAGGTTGAAGGTAAACTTAAACCAGATCCCTTGAAACAGCATCACCTAGAGCAGTTGAAACACTTCCCCTGCTGATCCCTAAAAATAGCCTCATTTGTCTTATTACACTGTTCCATACAATTTTCTTTTCTATTACATAACTTAAAGCACTGAGTCAAAACACTTCTCTTGTATAAAAACAAATAGGAGTTAAAGATCATAGTAAGTTTTATAAAATTCTTTCAATATATCTCTTTGGAACAGAATATAAATATTAACCAGGTAGCTGTTTAGTCTTTTCTTTCTCCCAAATTTCAGCCCCGTTCACTCCTCCAAATTAGCTATTTTCAGTAAGTAAATATTAGAGCAGTATTTACTTACCCTTGTCTCCATTGTAAGTGCAAACACATGGCAATTTTTCCTGTGGATTCCATAACCTAACAGTGCCGTCTGCTGAACAGGATAGTAATTGGTTTTTTATGCCACTATAAGCAAGACCCCAGACTGCATCTGTATGAGCAACTAAAGTGCCACCTAGAACATTTGGCTCTAGAAGAAACAAACAAATAAATTAGCTAAAAGAAAAAATTTCAAAGAAATCCTTTGGCACATATATACACATATGAGAGCGAGAGAGAGAGTGTGCGTGTGTGTGTGTGTGTGTGTGTGTAGTTTGCCATGTAATTAAATACAAAGTCACATAGAGATATACATACTGGCTGCCTTTAATGGTTACTGACTGGCATAAAGAAGAATGATTCCCCCATACATATTTTTTTAATCACCCAATATTCGATAAGGAATACAGTTTTGAGATATAATTAAGAAAGCAAACAACTCAATTTAAGTGTACAATTCAATGGTTTTTACAATGTTCAGAGTTGTGCAACTATTACCACAATCAATTTAATTTTAAAACATGTTCCTCATTCACCCAATTTTTGCCAATTGGCCTGCTCCTTGCACAGTTTAAAGTAAATTTTCATCTACTACTTTATGTATATTATTTTGCCTATCTTAGTCTTTTCGTATAAATGCAACCCTAAAAGCATGCAGTGTTAATCCATCAGCTGCTTTGTTGAAGGAGGATAGGCAAATATCCTCCTTATGATTTACTATCTCTGAAAAATCCGCTAAAGGATCAGCTTTGAGTCGGTTCTGAGTCGATGGCAACAACAACATGAGTATATGACGTTTTATTTATCTACTTATCAATTGACAGTCAAATAATGCTAAGAAGCTGACCAATATCTGTCTGACAATTCTTTTTCTCCAGTCAATTGTTCTCTTGCTTTTCAGGAATATTCTTACCAGGTCCACAATTCTAATAATTCCCAAAATTCTTACGTAATATTTCCCCTCATACATCACTGAAGTATTCAAGAAGAAATCCCACTCGATCTTCCTACTACCCAATCTACACCTATTTCTCACTTTTAAAGCCTCAGGAACCTGATATGGGTCATTAAGAGTCAGAACTGACTTCATGGTACTGTGTTTACTCCTCATTTATCAACTCTTTTTAGCATTTCTTATTTAAAATATGGAAAAGAATTCTCAAGCAGCACCTCCAACAGTCCAGGCACCATGAGAAGTTGTGGCCTTTCCTGGGGCAGTCTCCAGAGCAAGTTGAATGATATACTAGAGACTCCAGTGACAATCAGATCACACAAGTGGCAGAAGCCCTTGGTTACAGGCATCTCTTCCCAAGCATCATGATGCCAGCCAGTAAAGGGGTGGGCAAGAATACAAACATCTCAGTGGAGATAAGGGTGTCAACACCAGTGTGTGGAGTTGGTATAGATGGCAGGCAACACTGAACCAAGACCTCTACCACTACTCAACTCTTGTGGGTTCCACAGTATTGATAAAAGATGGTCTGCTAAGCTATGTCCATCACAGGATGGGACAGGGACACCCAACAGGGAGCAGCAATTGAGAGGGGTTGCTAAAGAAAAGAGATGGCTTCTAATTTTCACCTAATGATGCCATTTTCACTTTGGAACCTAACAATGTTGATACGTGAGGAGTAAATATAGTGTTTCAAACCATTCCCTTTGTTTCCAGACAGATACAAGTACAGAATTATTCTCTTCTCTATGAAAACCTTAATTCTACCAGGCATAATGTAGATTCTGCTCAGCTCACTAAGTTACTTTCATGTTTACCATTCTTCTCCATAAAGCAACCCCAAAGCAAAGCAATCTTCACTTTTCCTTCAAACATTAGAAAAGCATACTGAGTAAATGTACTTTTTTTAACCATTCATAAATAAAGCTTCAATAAAGCTTCTGGTATCGTCATATCAAAACAAACTCACCAAAGAAGACAACTATTCTGTCCTATTTAATAAATTATTTATTTTTGAAAAACAAACATTACTGTTCTCATCAGATTGCTCTTCTTTAACTCTCTGGACTAAGGCTTGAAATCCAAGCTTTAGTTATCTGGGAAAGAGCTCAATGACCTATTTGTTGCTTATAAAAAAAGAACTTTTCCATCTTCATATTATTAGACTTCACAGCAACATTTGGAAGTACAGACTAGTCCCTTCTCAAAATGGCTTCTCCTTTAGATATGTTTCAATATCTGAAAGTCTCCTGACTTTCTTCCAACATTGTGGGCCAGCTCTGTCTCTTTAATGGCTCTCTTGCTCATGGCATTATTTAAAAATTAGAAATGAGTTCCTCAAGACTTAGTCCTAAATTGCCTTTTTTTATCCTATACAGCACACTGTCCCTATGTTGTATTACTCAGTCTCACAGCTTCAATTATCTTCTATATAGAGGACTTCCAGTGTGCATCTATGTGATGCCACTATCTGTACATATCCCTCCATCTAAATAAATGTCATTAATATACTTGCCTGCTGAATTTTATACACACACACAACCCTGAGTGTGAGGTTCTTCAATTTAAAGAATACAAAAATCCTCACAACAGAAAGTTACCGAACTGTTAACATCATGACAAATTGACATTCAAATTACTTGGAACTACAATCAATACTCATGAAAGTCATAAACAAGAAATCAAATGATGAAGGGAGCTCTGGTGCCCAAGTGGCAAGAAGCTGCACTGCAATCTCAAAGATGTGCAGTTCAAATCCACCAGAAGCTCTGCTGGAGAAGGAGGGGCAACCTCCTCCTGTGCTAGTTGGATTTGATCTGAATCGATGGTACACAAGAAAAAAAAAAGGAATCAAAGGACAACACACATCTGCACTGCGCAAGTCTGTGACAGAGGACTTTGGTCTAATATGTATGAAAAAGTTAAATAATGAATAAGGAAAACAAAGAAATATCAGTGTCTTTGAATTACCATAGATGAATAAAATGGAATATATCACATCCAAGACGCCGGGCTGTACGAGGAGGAATGTGGCATCAGGATTGGTGGAAGAATCATCAACAACCTGCGTTATGCAGATGACACAACCCTGCTTGCTGAAACTGAGGAGGACCTGAAGCGCTTGCTGCAGAAGGTCAAGGACTGCAGCCTCCTATACGGACTGAAGCTCAACATGAAGAAAACAAAGATTCTCACCACTGGGCCAATTGGCAGCATTCAGTATGGATGGTGAAGAGATTGAGATAGTTAAGTTTTAGTTTACTTGGCTCCACAGTCAACACTCTTGGTACCAGCAGCCAGGAAATCAAGAGACAAATTGCACTGGGAAAGTCGGCTGTGAGGGACCTCTCAAGAGTACTGGAGAGCAACGACATCAGGCTGAAGACTAAGGTGTGCCTGATCCAGGCTATAGTCTTAGCAATTATGTCCTATGCATCAGAGAGTTGGACAGTGAATAGGGATGATGGAAGGAGAATTGATGCTGTGGTGCTGGAGAAGAGTGCTGAATATACCATGGACTGCTAGGAGAACAAACAGGTTTGTCCTAGAGAAGGTGAAGTCAAAATGCTCCTTGCAGTCAAGGATTCTGAAGCTTCGTCTGATATACTTTGGGCATGCTGTAAGGAGGGGAGGGACATCATGTCTGGCTGAGTGGAGGGGTGTCGAAGGAGAGGAAGACCTTCGATAAGATGGATTGAGTCTGTGACTGGATTGGTAGGAATGAGTGCGTTTGAGATGGCTAGGTTGGCACAGGATAGAACGGTGTTTAGAGCTATTGTACACAGGGTCGCTATGAGTTGCAAGCGACTCGATGGCACATAACAATAACAACAACTACTTATCACAACCTACCAGTAGAACAAGCAAAACATAAGAAGCATTTTGCTCTTCAAAAAGCTGTGAGGTTTATATTCTTACTGTCCCAAGTAGGACCTAGGGTCTTTCTCTAAATATCTTTGAAATATGTAAGCTATTTACTAAATTTGAAAAACTATGCCTTATTTTTTTTCCTAAGCAGGAGTGAAATGAATTGAAACTGTAAATTATATTGTTTCTTTTGGAGGGGCATCATAAAGAAAGTACCGATTCACAGGCTTAAATATTCATGCAGTGGTATTTCTTAATTATTTTCTCTAAAAAGGCAAACTGCAAGCAAATGGAAGAATTAATATGTTTAAATACATGTTTAAACAACCTTGCAATAACTATTCATCTGGAGTAACAAGAGGAAGTAGGTGAGCCTGGAATAGGAGGGGGAAAATTGAATGAACATTTGCTTTCTTTGTCATGACTCCGAAAAAACTGGATGGTATCCAACTATCATTGCTGAATATTTTGATCAAAGATTCTACAAAAGAATAGAATTTTAAATTGTCATACTCTATACTTTCTAAAGTTATAGATGATAGATGAACTCCAGAATTATTGCCCTAAGATAAACTTAAAATTTTAAACAGAAATTCTCCCTTCAAGTCCTCCTAAAATCAAATAGTCTAGTTGAACTGTGGTTAGGAGGGGAAAAAAACTGCGTAAAGTATTAAACACTCTTTAATCGGCGATCCAACTGGGAAAAGAAACTCAGAAAATTCAACAGTCATTTTAGGGTATAGCAAGATTATGCTAAGGGAAGAAGAATGTCTCAGAAAGATAATGAGGAAAAAGGCGCAGTTTGAAACATGGTGAATCATGTGGACAAGCTACACACTACCAACACAGAAGTGGAGCTCTAGGTTTCATCAGGCTCAGCCTGGATGAGCAAACTTATATGAAAATGCCCAACAACCAAGAACTCCAACAAGATTAAACATTTAAGATCTATATGAAAATGCCCAACAACCAAGATCTCCAACAAGATTAAACATTTAAGATCTATATTTAAATATGATATTGGGAGATGTGGAAGAAACTGGGACTACAACAGAAATTAATGAAGAAACATACGAAGAGATAAATAAATATACATCAATAAAGCAGAATATATCAGTGCTCTTGTTTATGGAAATGGTGGTGTGCTAGCTGTCCCTCTATTGAGAGTTGGCTAAAACAAAGAACTTGTCCTATGTGGAAGAGAATTTGTTAAGTAGTTTCTTTAACATAGAATATACTCAAAAGAGAAACTGGCATAAATTTTGATACTCAGAAATAACCAATGATTCTTTCAGTCCTGAAGTGATCTAATTTGTAGATAGCTTTTAAATTCTTAGGCTAAATGGCATTTTCATTTTTATCCAACTCTTTGAATAAATGTAATCACAAAAATAACAGACCTTTTGCAAATAATTTCACATGTATGTCTTTAAATTAATTTTTTTTCTTAAAGAGGGTGACAAAGCTCATACAACTCAATGTCACTAGTATAACTCAATTATACCTATAGAAAGTGAAGGACTAGTGAATGTTAAAATAAAAATTTATTTTAAAAACTGGTAGGAGGAAAGCCCTTATAATATTTATGGTATTTATTTGTATAGGCTCCATTCATTTAAAAATGTTTTGCACATTTTACTTACCATATGTATCATATGGATCCACATTAGGGCTAGGCATATTCCACCACTGGATGGTTGCATCAATACCACCACTAAAACACTGCTCACCATTAGAACTAATAGCTAACGACAAAACAGGACCACTATTGCAAAAAGAAAAAGAAAAAATTACTTAGTCTAAAAGGAAACTCATGTCTCCCCATCCAACCCCTCTCTAATTTCTGCAGTATCTTCTATTTAGGGTAAATACATAATCTGAGAACTGATAATAAGACAATTTAAAATCAAATGCTGTATTATTCAACTATTATGACTTTTCTAATATAAAACTAGTGAGATAACATTTACAGATTAGTAAATAATAACTAATTAAGGGAGTTAGAGAAATATAAATTTAAAAACTTACATGTGGGCCCTAAATGTGTAGATAGGCTCCACATCTAAAGAGGCACTCCTAATAGTGAAAATAGGAGGGTGAAGAGGGAAAGACAAATAATAAATAATCATAAATAACTGCTTTATAATAAATAGTCACTGGGCAAAATATTTACATAAAAGATACAAGAAATAAAGAGTAACAACAAACTTTAAAGGTAGGAAAACAAAAAACCAAGCTAACATTGAAGTACTTGCTTTTTGGCAGGAACTGTTTTTTGTAAGTTCCAAAGTTTCAAAGTATGGTCCTCAGAGGCAGTAACCAGCACAGGTTCTATGGGATGAAATGCTAATGCTCGTACTCCATCAAAATGACTACGAAGGGTGTATTTGGGATTCCATGTCTTTCGAAAGGCATCTTTATTTGCAGGCAACTAAAAAGAAAGACGGTAAATTTAGTGGTAAAAGTAATAAATGAATAGGCATGTGGAAATCCCCCTCCCTTTTCTGATATCATTTAAAACATATATCTAAAAGTGTTCTGCTAAAATGTCCAGTGGAAATATACCTTTATGAATTTTAAAAGATAACAGTAGTTTTATTATTTAAGCAGTAAATAGAGTAAGATGATTACATTTTTCAATTATCTAGATCAAATGAAACTATCTTAATCTATTTTCATCTCATCTTCAAGAAAAATTCAAATCCCAAACGAAACTCAACACACTGCCACCAAGTCAATAACGGCTCATATAGACCCTACAGGGCCCTAGTAGGACAGAATAGAACTGCCTCAACAGTATTTTCAAGGCTGTAACTTTTCATGTAAGCAGACTGCCATATCTTTCTCCTGAGAATCAGCTGGTGGGTTTTAACTGCCAACGTTTTGGTTAGCAACCAAGTGCTTTAGCCACTGTGCCACGAAAGGTTCTTGCTAAACCCAAAGCACCTGCTAAATGTTAGATGAGAACAGAATAACTACCAACGCTATAATACTTTAAATGAAAATATTAAAAATTACATAAATTACTGCCAAAAATCCAAGGGTTTAGTACATTTATTATTTGAGAAATTTATTAGCATGAGAAAATTTAAAAGCAGTAAGGTAAGGCCCTTTCCAAGTCTGCACTAAAGACATTTTAAGAACATTTTCATCCCATTATCACGAACGGTGACACTGATAGATCTTTTTTCCTTCATTTCTCCATCTGCAAAAACAGGTAGGGCAACCACTTCCAAAGCAGTCATAATATGCAAAAAATTAATCATGTACTTTAAATATTAATGAGAATAATCCAGTCTAACAAAGCTGACCTCTCTTAGAAGTATTCTAAGTCGTATAAAATGTAAAAAAATGATTATGCAATAAAATCTATTTATTTAATTTGCTGTAAAATTGCAAAAACATAAATATAAAAACCCAGTATAGTTAACTCTCAACTGAGTGTTTATTTTCTAAAATAAAAATTTCACCACAAACTGGTCTTATTTCTAAACTGTCCTTACGATCTTCCTATCCTCTCCTTATTCTTCAAATGAAGGAGTAAATATTCACAAATTATGCAAGCTAATTGTAACATTATCCTTAAGGAAAAAAAATTCAAATTAAAGCATGCTTTTTAAGAAGTATCCTAAACGCAAATTGCTGATTCGGTTATCTTTTTTTTCTTTCTTGCTAACAAAACATGGCTTAATTTTTATGTAGATAATTGAGAGTTGACTAATCAAGGTACTAATCTACCAACATTTTAAAGTAATTCCCCCCAAAACTCCTGATAAATCCATTACAATACCTAAGAATAATTTAAACACCACAAAGAGAGTAGTTTAAAAAAACAAGCAAACAGCAAAAACAAAAACCCCTGGAAGTCACGTCAAGTAAACACACTTATTAAATTTATATTTTCCATGCATCTTGATATTAACTGCATTAGTAAGAAGTTATTCCAAAAATAAGGAGCCTTCTATTAAATCATTAAAAAATAAAAAAATAAAACTGCACTTACATCATAACTATAGTCTGCATCATTTGTTACCGTCAAGTCTGCAAGGTCTCCAAGGCCCAGTACACTTAACAAAACATCATCAGAACCCATAATAAATGACTTGCCTCCTCCAGATGGAAACGTTATTGGTTCAGCTATAAAGAACAAAACCGCTTCTTAAATGCTGAAAAATCATACAGTACAAGACAATACTGTGGGGAAAATGTGAGTACTTATCAGTTATAATATTCAGTAATAGTAAATTTTTTATTTTCTCACTTTCCCTCATTTCTTTCACCCCCAAATTCGATTACCAAATGGTATTAAACATGTAGAACTGCAACCAAGCAAGCCTTCCATAAATAAAATATGCGCATTATAGATTATTCTAGGGATTGGGCACAAAAACTTTGTTTCAAATCTATCTTCTTCATTTTGCACATTTAGAACTATAGCTTACCTATTAAGTAAGAAATAAAACAAACTTTAATTAAGACATTAACTCTTTTTCAGCTACTCACGGGCAGCAGATCTCTATTAAGACACAATAGCCTGTTCCTAAATCATTTTACTTAGCATCTCATTTGCTTATGAAAGTGCTACACATCCTACGATCTGAAGAAAATGAAAATAAACACTAAAATGTAACAATCTTGAAAGTGTCTGCTGCATAATGCATCAATTTACTGAAAGGAAGCCTTTTAATCTCATAGAATCCCTCCTCTTGTCTCAATATGTCAGTCTCTTTTCTATCCATGTGATCTTGAGAATGTCTTGCAGCTTGAAAACTTTGCCTAGGATTTTTATTTTAATGTCTGCTTTCATTTATCTTGATACTTCGAAAGTGAAGCAACAAATCTATGTCAACTAAATACAAAAGTTTAAGCTTCTGATCATAATTATTTGCTTAATCAATTTCAAACTAAACTATGTTTCATTTTACTTAGCTTTTTTAAAAAATGTGTATCAGATAATTATACTTTTCCATTTAATTAAACAGTTCAAATTACTTAAAATGCTTTTCTCTACACTTAGTACTGACCAATTAAAACCAAACCACTGTGTACTACATTAATACTTTGCTATAACAGTTACAGCACAAATAATTTTGAGTATCATTTCACACAAATTCTTTGAAGGCAAAATTTAAGATGGAAGGAAGCTATTAAAAACCAATTTAACATGTAAAAATATTTAAATTGATATGCAAAAAAGGGAAACATTAATAAACTCCTAAGTTGATCGTAAGTTTTTAAAAACTTAGGAAAAAATATAATATGCTATACGAAACAAGTATAATAGCCTTTATACTACTGAAAATGACAGATAAAATGTAACTCAACACCTCCTGGATACATACTATGGCAAAAAAAAGTTTTCTGACTATCAAAATAACATACAATTTGACTCAATTAGGGTGCTAAATAATACTAATAAAATGCTGAGCCAATAACTAGTCTAGAATAACTAGAGTAAACTTGGAATCATGTTAAAAAGTGTACATCTGGATACTAAGTAGTATTTAAGCAATGTTTACTTGATTATATGGTTTGAATCAAAGCAATACCTGGTATCGATCATTTCTATGCAGCTATTGCTAACACCGAAGCTAAGAAATAGAAAACCATGAATTTAAAATTATCTTTAACATTTTTATCATTTTCTGGAAATAGTTTAATGATGATTAATTTTATAAAATACAATGAACAGGAATGACTGTATGAAACACAATGTGAATGAAAGATAGTGTGAAACACAATGTATATGAACTTTGTAAACAAACCAATTTTTTTAAATTATGTAATTTTCATCAGAAAATATTTACTCAAAGCCTATTTGGTCAGTACAAAGTTAGCTTTCCTTTACACTCATAATAATTTGTTTCTAAGGCAAGTTAGAACAAAATCCCACAATATTCTTCATTCACAATTACATATGACTAATATAAACTGTGATAAAATTCCAGTAAGAGAATACATTTTTCCTGTTCTTGTATATTCTTTTTATAGGTATTATTCTGATCAGACATGACATTATATTTATATTAAGGAAAGTATGCAAAGTATTATAGAGATTTAAAGGAGCTGTAGATCAGCTGTATTTTTTTAGAATCATACTAATTTTCAATTAGTTATATGGATGTATTTCCTTTCCTAACTGTACAATGCAAAACCCAAACTCACTGCTGTCAAGTTGATTTTGACGCAAAGCAATCCTACAAAGGACAGTAAAGCTGTATTTTCAGAAGCCAAGAGGTACAATTTTTATCCCATAGGGCAGCAGGTGGGTTTGATCTGGCAATCTTTCATTCAGTAACTGAAAACGGAAGGTCTATGGAACTTTACCTGTATATATACACACATATTTATATATACCAATTTATTCAGACCACTCAGCATTTATTTAAATATGTATGTTTGTAGTAAACATCTTTTAAGTTACAGGTTTGCTTTCCATAATCACTCATCAATGCAGAGTAAGGTAATTATAGCAGGGAATCCTTTCCTGCAGAGGGGAATTAACTTTTATAAAAAGATTAAAAGTAGTTTTCATTTAATAATAAAAAATATGGTATCTTAAAGTAGGTAGCCTAAGAGATTTTATTCAAGAAATTTAAGAATACTCTTATCACACTAGAATTTCTTTCCTAATAATCTTAGGGTTTCTACCAAAACCAAAAAAAGACTATTTGCCAGGATGCTTTTAATACTTTTATAACTAAATGTTCCTTTCATGGGCATGGTAATTAATGAAATTTGTAGTTCCCGTATTTAACAAACCCTTCTTCCTCTGATTTTGTCAAACCTAACCACCAATAAACCCAATAAATGATTCACTTATGCAGGGGGCAACATAGTAACATCTTTAGTAACAACAGTCTGAGAGGATAAAATGCAGACATAGTTCTCCTTGAAAATAGACTTTTTTTCATGATAAAACATTCAATAAAAAATTGGAAATGAGAGATTGTGATTGAAAAGAAGAAATTATGGATTCCAATGCTCCTTTCTTAAAGTAGAATTAAACTACCCTAAGTAATAAATTATAGTAAGACTCAATGAAAGTATAATGAATTTAATCATGTTTATCACAAACTCTTCTTTCTCTCAATATTAAGAATCACTTAGATCTGTGACTTTACAGGACTGTGGAAAAAAACAAGTAAGTGTTGCACTGGCCTGGTTTTTATTCTGTTGCTGTTCTTCTGGAATCCTCCTTTACCTGTACAAATTATTTCCTAACTTATTTAAAAATTATTTTTATAGTTATTATTTACAGCAATCCAAAAACTGCTAGTACAGTACATTGAGGGAGCACTGCCATAAGTTCAAATTGCATTTAGAAGAGACTGCGGCACAATGACTATCATCGCTAATGTCAAATGGATCTTGTCTGAAAGCTGACAATACCAGAAGGATGTCTATTTGTATTTTATTGACTATTCAAACACATTTGACTGTATGGATCATAACAAATTATAGACAGCACTGAAAAGAATGTGAATTTCAGAACATTCAGTTGTGTCCATATGTAACCTAGACTTAGACCAGAAGACTGTTCTCTGAACACAGTAGGGGAATATTGCTTGGTTTAAAAATCAAGGAACGTATGCATGAGGGTTGTATCCTCTCCTCATACGTACTCAATCAATATACAGAGCAAAATCTGAAAAAGAATGTGTCATCAGGATCAGAAGTAGTCTCATCAACAATCTGTGTTATGCATTTGACAAAACTTTTCTTGCCAAAAGCAAAAAGGACTTAAGGTGCTTACTGAAGATCAAAGACCACAACCTTAAATGTAGATTGCATCTCAACATTAAGATAACAAAAATCCTTACCACTGGGCAACATCATGATAGATGGAAAGAAGACTGATGTTAATAATGATTTCATCTTATTTGGACTCATAATCAACACCCTTAGCAACAGCAGTCAAAAAAATCAAAAGACGTGTTGAAATGGGAAATACGTTGTCAGGAACCTTCTCCAAAGCGCTGGGCAGCCGAGATATCAGTTTTAAGACCAAGATATACATGATTCAGTATGTCATCTCTATTACTTGTTATTCATCCGGACAACACTGTCATTTGACAATGACACAGATAATAAATGAAAGAATGAATGAGCTGTAGTGCTGGAGCACAGTAGTGAATATTCCATGGACAGACAAAAAGAATACATGGCTCCTGGAGAAGGTGCAGCCAGGGTACTTTACAGAGGCAAAAATAAGGAAATTTTGTCTCACATATTTTGGTCATGTGATTAGGAGGGGTAAGTCCCTGGAAAAGGAAATCATGGTTGGAAAGGCAGAAGGTCAGTCAAAGAGAGGAAGATTCTCAGTAAGATAGACTGACACACTGGCTATAGGAATAGGTTCAAGTGTATCAGGGATGGTAAAGATGGCAGAGGACAGGACAGAGTTAAGGTATGTGGCTTATAGGTTGCTGAGTTATAGCCAGCTGGAGAGCACCAACTTCAAAGTACCTAACAATAACAATTTGCAACAAATAAAAGATGAAAAAGCACACTCACAGAGATAAAGAGCTCTAAAACAGTTCCACATAAGCAAAGCCTTAATAGGATTTTCCTAAAGGTGAGGGTAACATTTAAATATGACCCTTGTTTAAGTTAAAATCTACTAGAAAACTCCATTTGTTAAGTGTATATTAATGAAAAAATGTTAGCAGAGATTCCTACACATTTTTTGGGCTTAACAGACCGAAGATGATTAAGTATTAAATATATAGTAAGAGTAGAGGTGATATACTCATTTAAAAATAATCTCGAATATGAAACAGGAAAATAATTAGAAAAAATTTTAAACTCACTGACATGGAGTCAATTCTGGCCCTCCACTGGGTTTCCAAGGCTGTACTCTTTTTAGGAGGAAACTGCCCATCTTTCTCCCTCAGCTTGGTTGGCAGATTCAAACTGCTGACCTTTCAGTTAGCAGTTCTACATGTAACTCACTACACCAACAGAGGCTGTGTACTTTTTCTTGTATTGTTCATGCTTTAGTATTTGGCAATTTGATTGTATTATTTTACTGACTTAATGACTCAAGTTGCAGTTGGTAAATTATTTCAGAGATGATTGTCAAGAAAAAATGCTCCTTTAACTTAAAAAAAAATACTAGGAGATAAATCTGAGAT